ATCAACTTAGTTCACTGTAATTTGATGAAGTCATGTAGAATAGGCAGAGACCTTACACCAAACAAATGATTAGACTGTTCTGGAACATGTCACAGAAATCTGTTTCTCAAACAAGAATTCCAGTCTCTTATCACAATAACATCTCGTATCGAATGAAATTGTTGAGTTGCTCAGTACCAACCAAAGACGGTCATTTGACAACAATCCATTTTTCCAACTGATGTCCAGTGCTTGATATCATTAGAAATTTACAAACTGAATGACATTTCAAGAGAGGCCATGGATACTGTGACCACAGGACGATTACCACATTTTAAACGAAGCCATTTTCTCTTCATATGGGAGGAATTTCAGTTTACAGGTGAAGGAAAGTAAGAGATCATGTAGTTTTTCTCCTGGTGAAAACTTCAACGCTCAAATGACAAAATCAGTGTTATCGTAGCTCCGTTTCATATGTTTAGTATCGTATACTACCTACTAACAATCAGTAGTATGAAGGCTTTCAGGAAATAAAAAAGCCGACGATGATGCCATCTGAGATAATGTTGCGTTTACAGACTGTTGTTGTTTGCAGCTGGCATTGCGAATAAAGGTTCTCATTTCATCTTCTAATATCTACCAATTCAGTACTTTAAGATCACCTACATAATAATAAAGTCAAACAGATATGATGTGAATGGCTTCAAGTGAGGAAGAATAAATTACACTTTGTAGGCTGGTACAAACGTACCGGATAGTTACTCATACTTGATATACGGAGTCGGATTTGTTCCAGAGCACCCAATGGACTAAAAAGACGTACACTCCTTTAATCAACTTCTCCACGGTGCGTAATGTTTTGAAGAAAACATTGGCTGATTGAACCGAATTCACAAACCTCAAACACATATATTTGAAGCCGAAAGAAATGTTTATCAAAGGCTTTACGCCGTTGATGAACTTCCTCAGAACTTGAAGGATTTATTGATTGACTTCGTTAATGAAGTTAGATAAGACAACTTGAAGCTTCATCTCTCGGTTTAAAATTCTGTGACAGACGTAATCAGGAAGACAATTTAGAGACTGATGTTAGATTTGAAAACCTATTTGCCAAGACAAACGACCTAAATCCTTTGTTCAAGTATGAGCATTACGTGACCTGAAGAAGAACGAAAATCTGATAACAACAAGACCTGACTAAGTATCTGGTGCAATTATCATGAAAAGAGTGCTTATGTCGACAAGATAAAGCTCTTTCTAAGCGACCATAAGAAATTTTAAAAAGTGAGTGCTGTAAAGGCACGACTGAGGTAACCGAACGCCAAATAGCTAAGACACTAAAATCACAGGTTGAGAGTAATCTGAATCCTAAGGATACACTCGACGAATTGAAACCCTTGGCGCACTCACCAACAATTTATGGTTCACCGAATATCCACAAGCCCGGAGTACCACTGCATCTCATCATGGATATGTGTTAATCTCCATATCATTCTACAGCAAAGTGTTTGGTTAAGGCCTTCAAATCGTTACATCGTGAATTAGTAAAATTCAGTGTAAAAGACTTAAGTGGCTTTGTAGAAACTACCAGAAGCCTGAATGTAAAGCGAAAGAAAATAATGTCACTGGATGTAGCATCATTATTCACCAAAGTCCCATTGCTCGAAACAGCCTACTATTTTTGTGAACAACTGAAAAAACGACAGATAGGTGTAGAAATCCCACCAAAAATAGTCAAGGAATTATTATTGAAATGCACTATGAATGTTCAGTTATGTTCGGAAATGATTTTGATAGACAAGTTGATGGTTTTGTCATGGGATAATGTATGGACCTTATGTTAGCGGTTATTTTCCTGGCTTGAAAAGTGTTCTCAAAGAGACGATTAAAGAGATTGACTATTATTGTCGATACGTAGATGATACCTTCATCGTTCGTGATAGTAATCGTAAAAAACACGAGCTTCTGGATGCTGTTAATAGTGTTCAGTCAGCTATTCAGTTTACATTTGAGGAAGAAGACAATAACAGTTTACCTTTCCTAGACATCCTCCTTACCATGAAGACAGACGTATATCTGAAAAGCAACTTATTTATAAGTAAACTCGGACGGGTCAGCACACCCATTTTCGTAGCTTCACACCGATTCAATACAAAAGAAACTTAGTTAGTGTCTTTGTTATAAGATAAAACGGATATGCTCAGAGGAATCCATTAAGGAAGAAACGCGTAAGCTGAAACTGCAAGAAAATGGATATCCAGAGAATATTCTAAAAAAAGTATATGTCAATACCTAGAGATAGAGTAAAGGTGGACACCATAGATAAGAAACCTTCGTATCTTAAGTTAAGTTACATAGTAGAGATTGCAGCTGACATTCTAAATTGTCGACCTAACAGAGCAGTAGAGAGAAAATCGCCTGCAGCTAAACTTGTGCTCAACTTCTCAACTAAATCAGTAATCACACAACGAGTCAAGGATGATTTACTAATGATGACCTGATCAATGTGTACCTATTAATTCAACTGCTCATGTGGAGCTAGTTAGATTGACTGTACTCAGAGGGCTTTATCCATGCGCGCGTGGGAACACGTACCTGTATGGTTAAGTAAAGGTGTAACCAAATGCGTAAATAGTGCAGTCTTACCCCGCTTGGTAGTTATCGGGCACTCGATAAAACCTTATCAGGCGTTCCGAGTGATCTATGGTGTTCTTGGTAATCATATAGAGGAGGCCGACTACGTCTTCTATCAGTATCTGAAGTGGTTACAATCAATACCAGAAGACCGACTCTTTGCATACAGAAGAGGTATGTTCAACCGCTATGTTTACCTTAGCTTACAATACGGCCAACAAATTCTCCATAAACATTAGCACTTAAAATTCCTATCACATTTTTCTTTTCTTCTTCTTCTATTCCTTTGTTTCATTGACAAACGGTCACTTTTTGACTTTTCATGATTTCATTGTTTAATGATTTATTACATTAGTTTTAAGTAGTGCTTTTCTAACTTGCTATCGTATTTACAAAATCGTATTCATTCCACTTCACTAAATTCATTATTATTATTATTTGAAAATCATTCACCAATACTACTTTATAGTTTACATTACATCATAATTATTATTTTACGATCATTATTATTTGGATAACGTTACTAGAAGACGGAGATTATCTGAAAAAATGTGATGTATTTGCGCTACGCATTTTGAACAATCTGATCACAGAATTACTTGTCAAGTCGATATATATGAAAAGTCGATTAGTCTTTGAACCTACAATCTATACCACCTCAAAGAAAAAAATGTTTCCATCAAATTACCATATAACGGGGAAATAAACAGTAGGATTTTGAGACAGAGTTGAATTCGGTCATCCGTAGAACCTGTCATGCAGCCCAGCTTGTAATTGTCAAAAAATCTGAAAATATGTTCCACTGCAAACCTCGACAGTGTACAAGAGATTATGTCACAGCCCACACTATTAGGATAAGCTGACGTCATTAAAGTCAAGTGACTTAACTACACACTCTCAAACGTTGTTATCCTCAAATCTACAAATTGGTGAAAATAGTTTTTGGAAATCTGATTGCGTATAGGACATGTATGACTAGATGATTTAATAAAAACACAATAATTAAGCCATACTTCCTTCGATTTCCTCATATTTCATCACTTTGTAATTTGCACGTCGATGGATACAGGAATAGAGATATTAATGGCTGCATGACTGAAATCAGAGTCTTTGGTTAGTATGTATAGTTTAGTGAATGGCACTGGTTCGGTTGCAAAGTAAGAAGCATAGCGTGCACATCCGCCATAATCACTCGAGGTGAAATTTACAAACACTCGGATAACATCGCCATTGTGTGAATGAATGGTGACGCCATACGGCTACACTAACGTGGGAAAGATTCGCTTCATATTTTATTTAGTTTGTATTAGCATGAACAAAAATTGACCAAATATAACATCCATCCATTTGACTGTTATGCCTTCTCATCACCTTCGTGAATCTTCAGTCTGTTTTATCAGAAATCAGTCATTCCATATGTATACACTTACACACCTGAGTGAAAATAAAGCTTATTTGGTTCAGGGTCAGATAGCCAATTTCTAATACATTAGCACTAATTTATGTGACTGGGAAGACACTTTCTCATAACAGATGATGGCATATGTCTGCAAATGAGATAGCGGTTGTTCCTACAACTTTTTCCATCTGGCATTCTTTTCTGATTACCTAGTTATACCTGTCATCGCTCAATTCACTATGATATTTCGAAATGAGGTTATTTTGGCCTCCATTACAAGAGGCGTCTTTTACCCAAATTTATATTACTGAATACTTGAATGGATTTGCAGAGATTTGTGCACCTGATTACCTTACTTATCAATGGTGTATGCGATATATTATCATTAAAACTGAAACATGAATCAAAGTAAAGTACACATCAGTCCATTCAGATGTGTCTCGTGAGTAGACTTATTGAACGTCCACCAACTATTTTTCCATTCCATGCAGCTTAATCAGAACAGATTAAGGCCACAAACAATGATAGCACTTTGTCGCATATGTATCGGGCAAAACCACCCTTGATGTTTGTGTATGCTAATACATATATATTCACTTACCAGACAAGTGGTGAAGTGTAGGTCACCTTAATGTAAATAAGCATGACAAGAACAAATGTGATCAGGATGTTCAAAATGCGTTTTGGCGAATAAATTACATTTGTCAGATAAATTTATTCTTCTCGTTGAATTGTTGTTATGCATTTTGATTTTGAGAAATCTCTTAGCTATTAATGTCAACAAATTCGTTGCATCTAATAAGCAGGAGTTTGCTCATCTCTTCAAGCACAAAACTTATGTTATTTGTCAAGCCAACTTATCTCAATATATATCTCTGCACCCAATGAATTAAAAACACCTTTATTTTCGTGACAGTGACATTCAAACTTTAATGTTGTTTATTCTCCAAATATTTTGAAGCGTATCTATTTTCCACAAGTGTGTCACTTAGTACTTCACTATCATTATTATTATCGTCATTATTATTAATGTTAGATCAACTACAAACATACTCAAGACATATTCTCAAGTTGTTACCCTGATGTGTTGGTGTACAGAATAAGTTTTCTTTATAAATTGGTTATTCGTCTTTTCGCGGTTACACATTACAACAGTATCCTCAACATACGTCAACATATAAATAACTGCAGTACTCGTATAATTCCTGAAGATTATTAAGGCTGTTTAGGTTGAGGCATAGAAAGGATCCACAATGCAGTGTATGTTATTGATAAAGAATAAGAAAATGAAGAACACCAGCTGTTATGAATTCCTTAGGTGATTGATCCATTCACTAATTTAACTGTAATAAACACAATTGCTTAAGGAATTCTTCCGTTACGTAAATTACGTCATGATTCTGAAACAGTAGATGGCCACCTCTGCTATTACAAACGCTGTGATAACTAGTGTGAACACGCCCAGTACACCCAGAGACCAATCATCACGAATATGTAAGTGACCAGATTTGAAGATCAATTGTCCAACCATAACTGACACCTGTGCAGGCAGGAAATAAATAAGAAAATGATAAAAGGATACAAATGTAGCAAATAAGAATAGATTGATAGATATCTATCAACTCTAAATACAAACTGAAAATTAGTTTCACTAAATAGTTTTGGCTACAGCATGTAGTTTTAATTTTTGTCTGATGATGATGAGTGGAATTCAGGCAGATGATCGGTGAGTCAGTCAGTCAGTCACTGTCTAATGTCCACAATTCAAACACTTCATATAAATGAACACAAATTATTGACGAAGTTCAAACAAGTCATTGTTACATGGATAGAAATAACCAACAGAATTGTGGTAATGCATTAGCTGATCTCATGTACTCAGGTATGTTTCTATGGAAGCCGTACACATATGGGTAGGTCCCAACAGTTTGAACAGACTTTAACATGTGATGTTAGCTGATGCATGATAAATCCTGATTAATAAATAAAAGATGGATATGCATCACTAATTAATCATTATTGTCTATATCTTCTTATGGACAGGTTAGCGAATGTTGAACAACTTTCTACCCATACACAAAAACACTATTATATACTGCAAATACACATATACTTTCGCATTCAGTTATCTACGACCACCAACTTCTAGTCGAACGTAATCTGATAAAAAGTACAATCTGCTTAAAATGTTTAACGAAAGTAAACCAAAATTTGTAAGTTTGAGGTAAATTTTCGATTAAAACTCATACAATTTTGATAAGTTGGAGTTCATCATGAGCTGACATCAGTTATTAAACATGTTAATGCATGTTTCATGGCTAATATGCTTGTAATTCAAGGTAAACGCGGTCGGTGAAAATATGTCTTCTATGTACAAATAGTCGGTCTTCTGGTATTGATTGCAACCACTTCAGATACTGATAGAAGACGTAGTCGGCCTCCTCTACATGGATTACCAAGAACACCATAGATCACTCGGAACGCCTGATAAGGTTTTATCGAGTGTCCGATATCTACCAAGCGGGCTAAGACTGCACTATTTACGCATTTGGTTACACCTTTACTTAACCATACAGGTACGTGTTCCCACGCGCGCATGGATAAAGCCCTCTGAGTACAGTCAATCTAACTAGCTCCACATGAGCAGTTGAATTAATAGGTACACATTGATCAGGTCATCATTAGTAAATCATCCTTGACTCGTTGTGTGATTACTGATTTAGTTGAGAAGTTGAGCACAAGTTTAGCTGCAGGCGATTTTCTCTCTACTGCTCTGTTAGGTCGACAATTTAGAATGTCAGCTGCAATCTCTACTATGTAACTTAACTTAAGATACAAAGATTTCTTATTCACGGTATCACAGGATATTAGAGAGATTTCGTGTGCGTTTCGGATTGTGAGGGCGACTGTTACTTCCCGGCTGCCAACACTGTTGAAATTGTTTGCGTGACCTCAGAGCCCAAGGGACAACTGTTCGAGGTCGGTCACATGCGGCCTCTTTATATCGTTATCTTTTTTTGGTGTGTCTCAGTAGCATATTTATCGCTTTTGCCCTGTGACATGGCAGCAGGAAACGTGGTCGTTGTTAATCTGGGCGCCGACTGATCCGGCATGATATTTTGTGAATTAGTTTTAATCATAGTATTGGATTTGGTAGCTGCTTTTTGTTTAACCGCTATCCAAACAACCTTTCTGGTATGAAAGAACCTCAAGAGACATAAGCTTCAGCCAGTATAGCTTTTTGGGTCATTGCTGTGTTCAAGCCCGACCACCACATCAAGGTAACAGTTTCGGGCAATGGCACAGATGTATTCAGTCTCTGTAATCTTTCATATTCCTTTCTACAATTACCCATTCTGTTTCACTCTTATACTTGTCAAACTCTATTGATTCTCTTCACTTATCATCTTGTCTACCTTTGTGTGCTATTTGGAACGTGGCAACTCGAACTGCCGCAATTCGGTGCCAAGTTCTATGTTGAATCCAGACAGACAGATCTCAGGGTATTAACATATACTTTTTTAGGAATTTAAGGATAAGATTCCGCTTTTGGACACTCCAGTGTGTATTCATCAATTTACTTACTCGTGTGGAGCAAAGTATATCGGCCGTACGCAACATTAAGTCTACAAATGTAGTCTGCAACACTATCCAGCTTGGTAAGCCAGAGAAGAAAATAAGAATAGCAGCAGCCCCATCCTCGATCACCTTGTCATCACCCGACATCGAGAACCACCGCATGAATGCTTCACAGCGCTGCACAGAGTCCCTCCATATCATACAAAGTGACAGAATACGCAATCTGTACATAGCTGAATCATTAGCTATTCGGGATCTGAAACCGGACCTCTGCATTCAAAGGCGATACATACTTTCGCTCACCCTACCATGGCAAGAGTAAATATCTTACTATAATTTCGCTTCTTTTCTTATTGCGTAAGTTCACTATTATCATTGCTATGACTAATATTATTTCATTTTCATTATTATTCCCATCACCCATATTTTATTGCCACTCCATTACGGTTTATTAATAACATTACTTTTTCATACAGATTTGTTGCCTTTCCACTAGATGTTGTCTATTCTACACGAGCTTACTGATTAGGCATTACCTCACACTTATCACGTCATGTCAACTTCTCTCTCTTTTCTAACTTACAATTAGTCATCCCTCCTTACACCTCACATTATGTAATACAATTTTTCAGGGACAAAGTTTGACAAAATCTGCTTGGTCTAAAGATTTCTTTGTTAAATATAATTACGATTATACAGCTCATGAAAATGAATCGTGAAAATTTTCTTCTCTGTTTACGCCTTTTTCTTACCGTCAGAAGCAATGGAAAGCCGAAGTCGAGATCCCAGAGGATATGCGACAGACTGTGCAGATCGAGAGGATGTGCATATACCGACCAATAAGCAGACTCTGGAAGATCTTGATTTCGTGGACGACTTACGTATAGTGTTATATAAACTCGAAGACTTTCAGGAGAAAGCCAGCATTGGAATCAGCAAAGATGAGACTTCAATTGACAAAGAAAAGATAATGTAGGCAACTTCCGTAAGTGCCAATCACATCCTTCGCTTTTTAGGTAGTTTGGTTTCAACTTCGGGTGGTGAAATGGATGACGATGTTAACACCAGAATTCGAAAGGCAACGCAGACCTTCATCAAGCTGAAATCAGTATATAAATCTTCTGAATTCGACACACAAAGCAAAAATCTTTGGTTTTTCTTCTGTGTGGGTCAAAAACGTAGTGCGAGCATCACAGGAGGCACTTCAAACCGCCTGTGGACTTCCATCAGCAGCTTTCTTCACTCTGTACTGAAGACCAAGTGATCAGAAAGAACTAGCAACAAGAGACTATCAGAACAAACATATACTAAGTCTTTGACAACCATGCAGAAGAAAAAGGAGATGGATAAGCCTCACTTGAGAAGACTTTCGAATGAAATCGCACATCACACCCTAGGATGAAATCCGAAAAGGGAACGATGAGTGGGTCATGAGTCTGAAAATGTCGGAAATGAGATAGTGGGGGGAGATGCGAAACTATAACGTATCGAGAGGCCAGCTAGAGAGGACCACATTTTAAAAGACAAAATGGAGATGAACTATCGAGTTCCTACGTTACACTCGAAACCGAAATGAGGAATAATAATGATATAATAATAGGCTATGCATTTTATTGCCTTGTTGTAAAGCAAGGAATCTTCGGTTTAGCGATAAGCTGTCGATTGCAAGAGTCAACAGTGCTTGATGTAGAGAAAAGAAAATCTCGGTTGGAGGACGTTATAAGATTAGTGGTTTTACTGATATGGAGATTTTCAAGATGAAAATATGCATACCGACCTTATAATTCAAACAGTTTAAACGAGATGGATTGCAAAAAGAGGAGCTTCCATTAAAGCGGCAAACCATATCAGTCATTATGTTGACTTTCAAAATAATTTACTCACCAGAAACACTTCTACAAATATTCCTATTCCTGCGATGGTTGAAGCGGCCTAAAGTTGAAATGAACAGTCAAAGTAAGGACAGTGTGAACAGGATGAATTTGAATAATAATCGAGTGAAATGAAAGTAGTACTAATTTTTTTGGATGTGAATTGACACTCTGCGATACATTTCGTAGTGAAAGTAATCAGCGGTATGTTTCAATCACCTTTTTCTCTGCTTACAAGTTTCGTTAACGGTGAGGTTGGCTGTATTACCCGACCTTCCTCTATCCTGCACTAAATGATGCCTAATAAACTATGCTAGAGATAATTCCTTGACGAGGAATCCAAATACATGAGATGCGAAGGCACATTGGCAACAAAATGGCATTCGAACTTACAATTTTCCCCTTACAGAACGGACTACTATACCATTCATTTACTGGTAGAGGATACAATGGAACATTAATTCTATTTTCTGACAGGTGACGATATACACGGTGCAACCAGCAGCAATTTTATCGGTTAGAAGCTATTTTCATTCCTCACTCGGTGGACCTCTCTAGTCGCTAAGTCTAGAGAGACGTTGGAATTCATGATTCATCAAATCCAACCCCATTGGCTGAGTGGTATGCGAGCTCGATTTGCCACCGCAAATTCCTGTATTCGAATCCTAGCAGCTGCGTACTACTGTAGAGTCCAAAACTCAGACGGACCAATCATACAGTACTCCTTCAGTTTCCATTGCTGCTTAAACTAATGTCAGCTTTTGATGAAGCCTGTGATCAACCAAATCCCTGTGAACCAAAACTTGAAAATATGCAGACATATACGTAAATGGATTGGACATTCGCTGTATAGGCGTTCAAATTGTATTCTCTAAATTTGTTCAATGATTTCCGAATGAGAAACATCGAGTGAAGTGTCGGTCTGGTAGTGACTAGGAAAAGATCATGAGAGGCCATTATGTTCGCTTGTGTATAGTCCTGCATTCCGCTGAAAGTGGTAACGGAGAACTGAGTGGAGCGGAGATGAGCTTGTGAAGTCACATGTTTCACTCGGATTTCAAGGAACCAATAATTGCAATAATACGTCTAGCTTTGTTTCCTAGGCTAGTAATTTATTGCTTATATAAAACAACGAAATAGTTGGCTGTAATTCTTATTGGCATTCTTGTTTGTATGGAAAAATAAATCTTGCCTTCTTAATCGGTCATCTGTTTATTCCTAGTGTGGCAAATGATAGTCCATTCAATCAGTAGCATGTTGTTGTCCAGTACTTAAGTCTACGCTACAGCATTTTAGGTAGGTGTATTATTGTTGTGTTGAAGTAGCCGTAGAACGAGTCGAGAATCCCAGTATCATTAGAGTTACACCAGAAATAGTAAACATAAATCTCATCCATTAATTATTGAGGATATATACATACGAAGAATGTAGGGATAGTTATTGATGTCACATAACTCAAATAAAATGATGGCGAGAACTTCATGACATGTCAGAGTAGATATTTGAAAATTATAACACACTCAGGTATAAAATCGTTGAAGATAACAGAAAAAGTGTAAGTAACAAATTAAATGAATAACTCTTTGGATTGGCTAAAATAATGACAATCAAGAAGTAACATGAACTGAAACAGACTTATGTGAATGCTACAACGACAGCCTACTTTCTATATATTTCATCGAACAAAACCTTAAAGCAACTCATTTCTTCGCGAGATGGCGTATATACACAGCCGTATTCCTTCTTGTATGTATCCACTGATAACATAATCAAGTAGTACTTTGTAGGGATTTGATTAGTTTTAGGTTCGATCATGGATTGACATCAGTTACGGAATTGCTGAAAAGCACCAGGAGGTATCGAAAAGCTGCCTAGTTCTTGTTTGAGACTTAACAATAGTAAACACCTATGACTTTAGTGCTAAGAATAAAACCAGGACCTTGAGGTGACTGGGCAAGTTTGTAGACCGCTCAGCCACTGGAATAAAGGTTAGAATTCATGGGTGAATGATTAAGTCGTATTGCCAAATGGATCCTAATCGCCCACTGTCGATTCATGGTGAGGTCTTAAGTGCATACTACTGACAGCAACACACAAGGTCGCGTTGGCTACCCAGTACTCCCAGTGGTTTACGGTGAGTGACTAACCGTTATAAATCTGTGATTAAGCCTAAAATAAAAGGATACATATAAACTGACAATATGTTAACTCACCCTGATTATTTTGTCAGCAATTAGTATCACCATGGCGATGCCCGTCAGAATAAAAATTACAACACACACTACCAGGAAGATGTCGAATTTCTCAGTCAAATCTTTCTTTATCATTGCTCCTAAAAATACTCCACATGCACATATGACAACAGATGCAACCCAACCCAGAATAACATCCAAAAGTGTAGCACCGGTAAAGAAAATGGACAGACAAACAGAGCAACATATTCCCTGGAGTTGAAAAGTAAAAGAAAATAAATTACACACAGAGTCAATTTATTTATAAGAAGTTTTGACTTCATATTCGCTTCAAAAACAGGTAAATAACAGCCAAAGAGTTTTGTTACTTCCTTTCTTCAATCCACTATTTGATTATTTATGTTTTTAAACCGATGGTAGGCAGGTAAACTGCATTTAAAACAATAAGAAATGCAGAATAACTTAAGTCTTTTGATGGATAGACTTTGGCAGCAGTGATATGACACCATGTTCCCGGTATCTTTATCACTAACTAGTGTTTAGTGTAATGTGTGGAGTGAAGGTGTTTATTATTCATATCTTCAAAGTGTAACTTCATAATTAGTCTGCAGCTGCAGCTTATTACTTGGTCGTAGGACCTTCAATTAAATGGCCTGAACCACTTATTGACTAAGCTTGATGTTGTCATGATTGTAGCCAGACGCAATAGATTGTAAATTTAACCTTTTGCTAATTCGCGATGTATAGCGCAGATTCCAGTCAATGTCCTGTTCTTGACAAAGTCATTTTTAATCGAATCAGGATAATGCAATTACCTCACCTCTCCTTCCTTCTACACCTTTTGCAGTTGAGCCGTGACATGCCTGCTGAGCCATCTGCGTCTATTTTAAGTGCTTCTATGATCATTCTATCTGGTCCTGCTACTTCACTGGATATTTAGTAACTTTATGCCTTTAATCATTCATCTCTGAAATATCATCTTCGTTCACTTACCTATTTTCCTCTGGCCTCTGAATCAACTTTTTCATTCAAAAACATTTCATGGATGTTTCGAAATTAAATTTCCCCTCTCACCCTGAAGCACCTTTATATGTGTTTGCAAAACTAGTACCTGTTACACCCAGATACATCCTAGCCATAAGATCCATACACTTCAAAGCACATCTCACAATATTATTCACTATGACATTCAAAGATCACCTCAAGTCAAATACTAGATCAGTTCTACAGTACCTGGATATTTCCGGCATACAGCTTCACTGGAGTCCCCCTATATATTTGTCTGCATAAATTGCAGAATAATTGTTGCAAAAAATGTTTGACACCGACAGACTTGAAATTAAACTTCAATTGCATGAATGATGCTCATCAAACTCCTCATTTAAATAGTGACTGAGTATCGTCTAGATTTGTGTAAAGTAATAAACATAAAGAAGTTATGCATCAAAAAACCTATTTACTCACGTAAATGAGAAGAGTAATTAAAGCAGTAATCAGCTTTTCTCTGAAGTATGTGGAAATTACGACAAGATATCCACTGGCTATGGCTAACACGCTGAAAAGAAATAAAAGTTTGTGAAGTGAAACAAAAATATTACAATGGAACTTTATTGATACATTGAAAATCAAAACTACCATCTCCAGGTTTTAATTATCTACTTGGGCACATTTTACTGGCAAATATATTTCTATAGTATTCTCCAATCTTCCTTACCCCTCTAATAAACTAGAGTTATTTCCTTCTGTGTAGCAGAGTGTTTTAGGTCGGTTTGATTTCAGAACAACATTACTTGGTGAAGAATAAAACCGCACTCGATGTTTCACAGCTCTGTAGTGCTTCTTAGGTAACAACATTTTGAACAAGCTCCTTCTAAGCCTAGACATCAGAACATGTTACTCAGCCTGCTACAGAGTTTCAATTAATGCTAAATGCGACGCATTCAACCCAATAATGAGGTATAAAATCAGACTAGTCATCAATAATTATCTGAGACCATAGATGTAATCTGATTTTGCTACGCATCTCTCAAGGTGTCAGCACTCCTTCTACGGAAATATTCACTCGAAATACACAAGAATATGAGGTAACTTCATTGTAAATTTGAGGTAACATCACTGCTGTTCGAACTGAAGAGTGAAACCCAATAAAGTGAATAAACACTATGTTACAAATGAAAAATACATTCACAATGAACAGAATACTGAAGCTAAATTAAACTTACCAAAATACCATAGTCATTATGAGGTGAACACCGGATTCAAGTCGAACGATCCACTTAAATCCACTATACACAAGAGAATAATGAGTACTTACAAGAAGTGTGGAGCTATAACGATGATTACTGCAATTATAATGAGCACGACAGAGAACACAATCACCTAAGATGGTTACACAATTTACCAACAGTGACATGACACGACCTACACGTTTATCATATTTCGAAATATCAATGAAATTTTTCTGTATTCTCCGATGATAGTTTATCACAGATGACTCTTCATTTGTTGCAGATAAACTTTCCTCAGTTTTACGGAAAGATGATTTGTTTGAGTCGTTGTCAATTATTAACATCCTCAAAGAAAGTTGAACCTGATTTGAAATTTAAGCAGAAAGTAGGATGAATATTGATATTCGGTGTGCAGAATGATTCGAAAGTATTTGAATAATGTGATGTAAATAGGTCTGATTTGTATTCTTTTTTTAATGTGTATGCGATATAAAATAGGGATGGCTAAGCACTCAACATTCAGCCAACGCTGTTGAGATTGTATTTTAGCTCACCGAATTCGGTGTGCAGTATCATCGCTTTCAATGGGGAAATAACCTAAGAGCAGGTCCATTGAATCGGCTGAAATAATTTTTTTCCTTCACGTTCTCCAGTGGAACACAGGCTCCAAGCTAGTGGCTTGAAGTTTCTTTAGCAGTGTTTAATTTTACCGGATGGGATTGCTAGCCTCATGCCAACCTTTCCTCTTCACCAGCTTTATTTCTGACTTAGCGAGGTAAAGGAGAAATAATAGTCATAATAAAATAATGAAAATAAAAAATAAAAATGTCAAATGATATTCACAAGGACTGGAGGAAATCACTTACGAGCATCTAACATATTATGTGGACGAACACAACGACTGTAATAAGTTCTTCCAAACAAACAGATAAAGCTTATTGAGACTAATCGCAAACGCATCTACTGTGTGCAAAGAACAGATTCAGAGAGCATCAGAAAATATGGATGGACTAGGAAAAGTATCCTGAAAAGATACAAGATAGTATTGAGCCACGTGAAATTGCATAATAGAGATGAGCAGTGTACAATAATACGTTGATGAGCTTGCCTAAGTGTACATACAATATAAGCTGTTCCACATTAGTAGTTAACTGGTGTTACACATGGAATAGATGAAATTATGCAGTATGTGTTAATTTTATGATCTAAGTAAGCCAAGTTTGAGTAGCGAGCAAACAGCGTTGCGTACAGTATTCTGTCTCTTTTCGTCCACCTTACAAGCAGAATCATTCAATATAATGGAAAAGAGTCTTAAGTAACTAATCCATTACATGAAAAGTAGGGGTGTATTTTTATAACCAAGTGTCTTTCGGTTGGTCAAGTACTGCATGGTAGGCAGAGGTTGAAATCTACTGACTTTCATGTACATAGTTTGGGACGCATATGATTAAGTGCTTCCATCACCTTTAAGTACCTTGAATTAAAGTTGTGTGAAATAATTCAATTCTGAATGCTGCTGATCTCCACGCCGACTTGAGAGTATTGAAAGCTTGCCTTGCTTCCCGATCTTCGCTTTGATATCTCCATCAGTTCCAGCAGCTTGTAGTTGAAACAATGCTTCCCAGGTAGGTAAAAAAGGCTGCTTCTTTAGGATTTCTCTCATTCATGATGGTTGATTGTGGTCTGTTGTTGTTGCTGTTGGCCAGAAATCTTCATCAACTCTGTTTTCTCTATGTTCACCTGTAGTCCTTCCTGTCTTTGATGCTTCTACTGCCAAATTGTTGCTTTTCACTTACATATCTTCCCAGTTGGTTTTGAGTTTCGAATTCTAAATTTATGTGAATGTTTGGATTATTGAGATTAAATAGACTAGTGAAATTCTTAGTTGACTGATAAATATCACCCATTATAGACGTATCATCCACATAATGTTTATCAGGTGCAACGTTTCCCGGAATACCTTTCATTTCTTCATCCAACTGCAGTGTAAATATATCTGCCAACAGTGAACTCAAGAGGTTAAAGTAAAAGAAGCCCAAAAAGCAAGGTGGATATTCATTTCTCTGAAATCGGTGGTTAAATCTGCTATACTCATCATAAAAAGCGACCTCCAGATCTTCAGCACTTAAATCAAGTTGGTGTTTCTACGTAGTGTAACGACTTGGTGCGTGCGTCTCAAAAAGCATTTCAACAGGCTACTAAAAACCTTCATCAACTTCTGGATTTGTTGCCTCCGTGCTGAAGATCAAACAGCAAGAAAGTATTAGCAGCAAGAAACTCTGGCAGAAAAAGACCCAAAGAAAAATCTATAGCCTTTCAAATATGTCGAAGGAAGCGGCGTTGATCGAGCACACGGCGATGAAACGTTTCAAAGACATGACGTACCAGGAATCCGAACGGGAAACGAGTTAGGCATGTGTCTGAGAATGACTTGGAGGAGGGAGGATACATGAGCTTATAAGTTATATTTGAGATAGCTATGAATACTTACAAAGAACGAGATAAAATGGAGATGTGCTGTCAAAGCTCCATGTTTCACTCGGAACCAAAGGAACAATGATAAAAATTGGCTGAAAGTTAAGTATTCCAGACAATGAGCCTCACTTTCCTATTCAAAGTGGATTTTTTCACAAAACGTTATTCAGAGAACCATTGAAGGTAATGAGTACAGGTGCTTCAACCCCGACTGTGGTTTATCAACTGAACTTTCCAATTTATGTAAAATGTCCATTCGGATGTGTAGGAAATTAAATCAAGTGATTCAGCAAAAAGGGCTGTTTACAGAGAGTTCAAAGAGTTTAACAGTTCACAAGGTGTTGTGCAACTAATCATATCCGTCATTCGATGCGCGTTTTATCTAAAAGAGTGAAAGAACAATATTCAGGATGGTTACGAAGAGGTGGAAGTGCAGTCACAAGAAACACAAGAATTTAACATCTGATCGAAAATGGATCTCCATAATCTCTTCCTTTAATTTCGCCAATAAGTCAAAAAGATATACTGTCAAAATCGTCATAGGTCCTGCTGAAGCTGAAAAGTCAGAGTTCTCAACTGCAACCACTTTCATGGTCTTACGCCTTCTAGGCTGAATTATTATAGATCCCATTTCTTCGTTGAACTTACTAAATTTCCTGTTTCTTCAATCAGTCAGCACATCCATCTCTTATTTGTTTTAGTCACTTCCAGTTTCGTTGCTATAATTCACGTATTAGCTCACCCCAGATAGATAGAGCTCAAGACCTCTCGATCACATACAGCTGTGCTAATTTAGTTATTTCGAACTCACCTGAAAATTGAGTTCTCCAGTGGCCTTATAATAAGCCATAATTTTAAAACGAAACTTGTCATTTTAGTCAGTGATGCAATGAGAGATGATAAAAGACAGGAAACCAGTGTATTAGCTAAACTACAGGTTATCATTATGCTGAAATTTGAAATAAGCCTAATATTAACCCCAGTCAAAACTCAAATGAAGGTATATATTGTTCATGTACATCCTTATAATATATATATATATATATATGCGTGTTTATGGTTTGCAAATCTCCTTTAGACATTCACTAATCTGAAATCACTGCGTCAATTCATGACACTCAGCATCAGGAAAGGGATTCGGATATTCAACACTAATTTCAAGTCAAATAGTGCTTCTGTATGTTCCACAGACTTGACTGGTGTGCAGCCAAATCACTTCTCGCAGCTTGCTGCAGGTGATTATCAACAGCTGACTTGACCAAATACTGAAGATCAGACAGTCGACCAGGAAAGATAAGCAACAAGTAAGTGTGTTAGTTCAACTAAACGAACGAGAACCTATTGCTAATCAAATATCCAAAAGGAAATGAAGGTGGATTACAGCAACACCTGGGAACCGTTGATAAACACAACGAGTCACGTCAGCCTTCGAGTGGAACATGAACCTGAAACACCATGTTGGGGGCTGGTCAGACAATAAATTTAGGAAATCGTGTGAGAAAGGATAGGGATTTCAGGCCGATTGTGGAGTCAGCGACAGAGACTGCAATGGACAAAATGAAATATTAACATGCTACTGAAGACCCATTATTCCTTAGGAATTACTGATAAAGGTTTTGCTATTCTGAATCTGGCGGCCTGCTTGAATCACTAGGCTATCAAAATCGTCTTACCGTCTGACAAAATGTACAATATTTAGCTTATTTGACACGGTTTTAACCATCTAACTGCTTTTATGAACCATAACCGACTCTTGAATACGTTTCCAGAAAAGTCCAAGCCAAATTCCAGAAGGTTTTCAAGTAATTGGAAGGAAATCTTCATAGAGGAATAGGGTATGCCTTCGATGGAACAATATTGACTGGATTGGTACATTATCAATTATTTTTTATCATTGTATTATTTGAAGATTACGCGCATGAAGTAAATACCTTGCAGTGAAACAAGCTGAAATTCTGTGCTGTGTGTAGAGCGAACTTTACAAAAATTATTCACTGTTCTCATAAAACGAGTCCGTTTATATACTCAGGCTAATCAAAGTGTGTTTTCTCATCAAGAATAATTCGTTACTCATTTCTATCATCTAGTTTATCCACAATGGACTTTAGATTGTTTAACTCAAGATATTTTAAACCAAATTATTTATTCTACGTCAATATTTTGTTGACATTTTTTAGACAAAGAAAAAAACACTTGCGTAATTTTTCTCAGTTTTTTTCCAGATCGCTAGATAAAAAATAGAAATTCATTGAAATTAGTAAGAATGAGAAGTATACTGAGTATTTTAGTCACTAAATCTCAATCCAAAGTACCATGAAAAAGAACTTTAAACTATGCAGTTTTACATCAAATATTTTGTATTTGCAGACATCTTCATTCATCGAACAAAAGTTGAACATTTGTATATGAAAACAAGTAATTGTGGGTGACTATTATCTTATTATTATTATTTATATCACCAGCTGCAATAAGTCGGAATTAATGCATTAGACACGGTGTTGATGTCATAGCAACACCACCAAATTGACAAAACATCTCTCCATACAAAACAGAGTGTACGTTTATCGTGTATCTTGGAAAATGTCCATTCGATGAAGACAGGGAAATACGAATCTGCACATAATCGTTTATAAATCCATTACTTATAAAACCTACTGTTCTCATCAAAGGAACATTGGTGAAGAAACACGAAGCATTCAGGCATATCATGAGTGGAGATGAGTAAAGATTGATTAGATATATTAATAAAATCATTAGACGTTCAATAGACATGTGTGGGACAGAAAGAAAGATAGAGTACATAAGAATGTTGTCAATAAAATATGATACTCATCCATGTAAGCGAATTCGCAAAGTTGTCTGAGTACGTTAATATGATTATGAGCAATAAAATGTGCTCAAAAGGTCATCAGTAAATATAAGTGTACAGTAATGTATCCCTTTATCAAAACAAACTTTATCCATAATGTTTTATGACTAGTTTTGGTAATGGTTGATTAAGATCATCCATAGACGATCTACAATAGCTACAATAGCTACGACCACAGTCATTTGTTACAAAAGCCATCCACTGATTAAATCCACTCTAGAAATAGAAAACGAGTCCAAAATCCCTTCCTTGATGTGGAATTAATATAATAACCCGATGGAAACTTGGGATGGTCAGTCCATAGAAAATCCACCTGGATCGGTCAACTAAAAAAATTCTACAGTTAGGTTCCCGTCGAACAAAAATAACTTACCACTTGGCTCCGATATATCTGCGTCCTGGCACCGTGGAAGCTGAACTGCAATTTCTGAAATTAAGCCACATCCAAAATGTATACCCATCAAGATTCATCCACAAGAATATCAGAACAAAAGTCTAGAGGGATGAAACATTACTGATCCCAGTATAGAAACGTTATCTGAACGTGAATTTCAAACGAGGCTTAATTTGAGAGATCCTTAGGCGAAGAACTTCAGCATCTTTGGGAAGAACATTATTGCAGCAACGCTAAGACTAGTGTTTCACAGTCATCCTTTGGATGATGATGCTCTATACTACTGACTGCTTTGTTAATATAAGCACCAGGATACCGCTTTCACAGATCAACGGCCAGGAGTGCTTAATGGATAGGAAGACCATCGATCTTATCTATCCAAACAACCATCAAACTGGCGTTTCGCCAAGCTTCTTTTAAGTAGTGTACCCACGTGAGACACATAAAAAGATACACATGAATCCCTTCACACCCGCCTATCTCTGATTTAATAGATAGCTAACTGCTTAGGTGGACTAATAATACATTCGAACAAATTGGTAATTCAGGAAGAAACTGTTTGTAAATAGTTTTTGAAAAATACATAGTTTTGAATTGACATACTCATTTAAAATATTCACATACAGCCAAGTATGCGTTCCCTCTCCAAGACCACCAGCAGAAAACAAACGTCCACCACCAAGGATTGAATGAAAAAAGAAGCGGGGACAAGTTATTCGTCCGTATAACTAAAGAATTCCAAACCGATATCAGCGTGATCAAATTCAGTTATCGGTGCATGATACTGTAAGAGATCATGTCCGCCTGAATTTTCGTTGGTTAGAGGGATGTAATGGTGCATAATACACCATGTCGTGTATATATGTTTGTCTCAAAAAATGAGCTTGGTGCATTACGCGCACCGGATGTTCCGCCATACAAAACTGTCTCCAAGTTTGTACTTGGGCTGCAATACTAACTGCCTGGAAGCACAAAACAAGGCAGGTATCAACTGTCTTAAGGATTCTCACATGAGCCTTTCTCATGAAGTCCGGTCCACAAGCGTGTTAAGCAATGTCACATAATGCTGCAATCCAACGGTTTCTGGCGATTAAAACTGCTTTATACACGCCATTTTATCTGATCGCGTTCCGGAACCCAGGTACCTATCGTAGGTTTGGAATCTGTCAGGGTTTCCCAACTCCACACAGGTAGTACACCCACGTGACCTTCGTCACTATGTGTACGGGTATTGACTTCCTGTTTTGGGTCATTGGGATGGCAAGAATCAATGAAGGCTGGGGACAAACCGGTGGCGTAATGGCTCCAAACTCCAGTTCTCAATGGCTCAGATATTCACTCTTTGTGATTTGCCGTATCCAATTAAACTCTGTTCTTTTTCCATATTACTCACTATTATCTTCCCTTCACTCTCACTTCCTCTTATTGCCTGTCTTTTGAATCTGCCATAAACCTCCGCCTTGCTTAGTGTTCTACATGGAGGTGGTTTGTCAATTTGAACTGGTGCTGCACACCAGTGCGAAGTTCACTGTTGAAACCAGGTAGTCAGTCAGGTTCTTGTTTGTTTCGTTTCCCTGACAGAATTCCTTGTTGTTTTAATCTTATCTAGCCTATCTTTGTGCAGACCACAGCAATGAAAGTTTTTAACGGCATCAGCAAAAATACTTTGCTGCGCAGATTTTTAAAAATAATGCAAAAGCCTTGAAATTTAGTTGCATTCACCGACCAAATTCTAACGTAAATACCCAACAAAATACAAACTATGTCGAAAAGCTGAATCGTTAGTCAACATATTCTCTATGAATCTTCAGAAAACCAGTGGTATCTTCAAGTATCAATAATAATCTGTCCCATGAAAGTCTTGATACGACCGTTGGTATATACATTTTGGTTTTTCCTCGAAACGCACTCATGAGGCCGCAAATTCAGAGCCCCTCCCAGATAAATGCTATTCACCAACATCACCGCATTTTGAGTGATGAGTATTCCTCAAGCAAGTTAAAGGGTGCATACGAACACGTTTAACGGAGGCCTACCTCTGGGCGTTAGAGAACCCTAACTGCCCTCATGACTCCTGGTCTGTATATGCGCATCAAAATATGAAAGTATCGAATATCACGTATGAACCTGACCTTGGTTACCAGCAATCATGAGAACGTTGCTGCTCCTGAACGTCCTCGATTACTCTGGCTTGTGAATCAAACTTCATGTCAAAGCCTCAGAGGAGAGGTGGTCCCTTAAGACAGCGACCCCGGGTTTGGGAATCAGGATAATATCCATATCTTCGCAGAAATTATGAGACAATTTTTTCAGGCGCACTTCTTGGTACCCATAATGTGAACCGAGTATTTTTTAATAAAACAAAGTAATAACTTCAGATACTAGTGACAAACTGTGACGATGACAACAAATATCTGAGTGTAAAATATGAAACATTATAACATACTTCAGATTGATCACAGCGTAGTAGTAACGAAGGTTGGTGCCGACTGAATTACAATGGTTCTTAAGCAACTGACATCAAATCATGAACAAACCTGTAACCAATCGAATCGTCTCTGCAAGTTAACCTTTTTGAAATTTATTCAAATGCTCAATTGTGACTGGCTCAATAAAGAGGAGAAGTTACATGGAGTGTTTTAGTAAGAAGTGGTATAACCAACATGTCCAAACAAGTCATTCAGGTAAAAGAGAATAATTACTCGTCGTTAACATTGCTTGGCAGTGTTTGAGCAGAGCTT